GAAGGGTAACTTGGACACAGGTAATGAATGATTGTAAAAATCTACTCATCACCGTCATCATCGTTGTCAGCTGTAGTAACTGCGTACTCGTCTTACAGTGGTTGTAGCTGCCGCAGTTTCATTCACGGACGATTTGGCGGAGGGGGGATGGTAGCAAGATTGAATGGCGTAGAATGAATAGCGCTTCATTTGTCTAGGAATGGAGGTACGTAAGCTGAAAATGAAGGCGAAAGCATGGTTAATATGAAACGACAATGCGAACACAAAAGATAGTCATGACATTCATCGAACTGCCGGTCCTGACGAATTCCCACGTGCTCTGTTTAACATTGGTGAAATTCTCAGTCGATGTTTGTCTAACTTCTTTAACTCTATCAGGGCGAAACTGACTGTCCCAACGAACTGAACTGGGGGCATTTTCAGAAAGGCTGTTCTCTGTGGTTGTGGCGATCACAGAGGAATTATCTCGACTCCTGTAGGTCAAGAAGGATACAGTAATCCTGGTGGATGATATGACTGCCCAAGTTGGAGAGTTGAGTTTAGATTTGGATTTGATGCTGAGCGTACGGATAGTAGGCAACGACTGCACCAGTTGTGGGCTGATCATAATCTGTTCCTGGTCAGTACGAACTTCCAGTACAAACGCCCATGTCGAGCTACCTAGATGCCACCAACCGCAAGATAGTCATGAACTTAAGTAGATCATGTGGCTATTAATCATCGATAGAGAGCATCAATTAAAGACTCGTCTTTTATTAGTTAAGCAACTTGACTCTGACCATGCCATTGTGCGGGACCGGTTATCACTTCACTTTCTGTCAGCATTATCCACGCTGAAACGCAGCAACTCCATTCATCAACTTTGACAAGTTTCAATAGCTCAAGAGTACGCAGCTGATCTGGCCAGAAAACTACTGGAGACGCACAGCCATGCGGATGACGAATAATGGTTAATGGTTGAATGGAAACGAATTAAAGAAGCTGTGCCCTCAGCTTCCAGAACTGTTTGTCCGAGTCATCCGACTTGACCAAATGAGCACTGGATAACATCGAAATCAGCATATCTTATTAATGTCAGAAAGGCCAAACCAACAACTATCAGCTGTGATGGCAGACGCGGGTCCTCTGTACATCGCATAGTCGGGATCCTAAAAGATAACCGAAAACCCTGGTCGATTTCGAAGGCCCAGGAGACGCTTCAGACAACAGCTGCCCTCTATTTCAGTAGATTCGATCAAATGTCAGCGAAACGATACACGAAAAAGATGGAACGGCAATTCCTTCGTCGTCTCGAATGATGGAATGAACACTCCAAAGAACGGTCCTTGAACCTAAATACATTGAATGTCGACACCAGCAGGCCGTCCACAACAGAAATTCACCGTGACATATCACTCGTTCAACGCGACAAGACCCCTGGCCCGGATGGTGTGCACCCGGCACTCTTCAAAGGTTTTCCAGTCCTAGGAAAGAGTTTGGTGGTCATACTTCGGAAAATTTGGAACAAAAACAAAATACCAGTGAAATGGAGCTCCTCGGCGGTCATCACACTCTTGAAAAGCAGCGCGATTATACGAGAAAAAGCGTGACATCAGTCTGGTAGCCGTCGCATCTAAGATACTCTCTGGCTTTATTTCTCTCGGGTTGATCGATTATCAGGAGAGAGATTTGTGGGAATCAAGCTGGGCTTTGCCCTGGATGTCGGATGATGCATCGACCATATCTTCAACTTTGGACAACTTTTCTCTCAGATGTGTCACATTTGTCATTTTTCTTTCCGATCGACTCTGTCGACCGTCAGAAACTTTAGACGAAGCTGGTGATCAAGGGTGTCTCTTCCAAACTTATATGCTTTATGTCCGGACTCTATGCGAACTCTATTGGACTGAGTTCACCGCGTTCAGTGGTGCAAGACTAAGCTGATCTCTCTCGCCTTCCCTGTACAACTTTATTGGTAATTTGTCGAAATATTGGTAGCCCAGGTGATCTTATTGGTTGCTGATCAGGTGGCTGTTAGTCTGTTCGCCGATTCGCACCTCAATTGTCAAGATCAACAGCTATCTGATCAACAAAAAACAACTTTGTTACTGATGTGCTGTCCGAAATTTGTCTGCTTGTCTGTGAAACCTCAGGTCGATGTTCTCCTGGGGCGTTTGCTCATTGACATTATGTATGGGGACGATATTTCTCTCTTTGGTTCAGATCATCAAAAAATTCAAACCATTTCAAACAACCCTGAATGGTTCTGCTGCGCTTCACACCTGCAACGTGTAAAGTGCCACTACAAGGGTGGATGAGATCAAACCCGAAACCTCATGCTTGCTGGTGAGCCAACTGATGTAATAGGTAAATTTGTTCGATTGGCCTGAGGAGTAGTGTGAGTTCTGGTGTGCTGGACGCAGATGAGACTACTGATCGAATCGGGAAACGCAGGACAGCTTCTGCAAACCAACGCCTCTGCCACCGACGTGGCATCAGTTCCTCTGTCAAGGGCACAGTTCACACTGCGACAGTGCGATCCATACTGTTTCATGGATGAGCAATTCGGCCTTTACGAGCAGAGGACGTAAGAAAGTTGTCAGTGTGCCCCTAAGCATTGATCAGGTATGGTCGGAACATCTGCTCAGCAATGCTGAGGCGTGTCAGATGGATTAAGGGAGAAGGAACTCTACAACAACGAATGAATTACTCACGCTTCATAGGTTATTCTGTTTAAAACACGAATTCCGCATGCCGGAGCACCGCCTGCCTCTTTTCGCTCAGCCCTGTGCTTCGTGGCAGCGGCTGATAGGTGGACAGTGTATGACCTGGTAACAAAGTATGTAATCACTAACCAGTCCACACAGCCGTGTCAACAACTGCCACCTCCATGGATGGGGTCCATGGAACTCAACTCATCAATGGCTAGTGATAGTGGAAGAAATGGTCCAATCGCGCAGTGGGGTTCGTGCCTCAAAGCTACTGCCTTCAATGGGTCGTTGCACAGTTGCCGAACTAACTGGGCATACCATCTCCTGCAGTTCTTGGTTGCATGTCTCATCTTCTCTCACCTTCTGGCCATCGGAACCGTAACTGCTAGACTCACGTTCCCTTGGTACATGGTTTGTAGCTGATAAACTGTATGGAACTGAACAGTGAACACCAAGAAAACCCCAATTGAAGTCGACAACATATCCGTTAGTGGTGGCAATTCACAGGTGTCATCCAAGAACAGGGGAGATCGAGTGGTTCCCATCTGAGATGGCGAAAACCCTCTGCATTAGTCTCCATCCCCTTCTGATAAGTTATATTTCCGGCTATTCATGCGTACTCTGTGGAATATACTACGTGGCTCTCTTGCATCAATGCTACCGTCTTCAATGTGCAGCTATCCAGTTCTCGAACTAACTTGAATATCATCTCCTACAATACTCGCATGTATATCCCAACTGTCTCCTGCCTCCCGGCGATCGAAACTGTAGCAGCTGGAACCAAGGTGCCCATGGCACATATGTAGATAATAACTTGCTTATTGAATTGAATCGATCATCATCAGCAACAGTAGCTGCATAAACCGCATACTTACTGTACATAGGTTAGCTGCCATAGTTTGTCGATGGTTTGGAAATGTGGAGTTGGTGGCTTTGCATTCAAGGCGATAGTTGATACAATTGATGAGTAAGTTCAGGGATGTATACTCAGATACTTCTGGGTATGTGAACAGGAATGGTGAGCCCTTTAAAAGCTACTTTACAAAAAATGGTGTCCAACAAAGATGTCCACTGATTCCCTGTTTTTTGTTCAACCTCATAGTCAATGAGATACTGAAACCATTTCTGGAATGACTTCAAAATCCATTTGTTTCAATTGTTGCTGGTAAGAATCTTGACCATCTGAAGTGTGCAGATGACACTGTTTTCACCTTTAAAGGCGAATGTGAAGCACAAGACCTATTACACACACCGGCCAACGTCACATCTTTCGGTATGCGCATTGTACCTTTAAAATGCAATGATGCTTCAGAACTTGCGGTCTCTGAACATACCCCTTACAATTCAAGGTGAATCGCTCGATGTTTTGGAGCTGTATACATACTTCAGAGATGTGTCTGATGAAATCAGTGTATGAATCCAAAGGCGCGAATTACTTTCCAATTCACATCACTCGTGACATCACTGGGTCTCAAGGGTTGCGTGTACTAGGCTATAGTAGCGGCCTTATTGTTGTATGGTTGGCAAACATGGCCCGTGAGGGCAGATTATGTGAGGCATGTTGAGGTTTACGACCATCGATGCCTCAGAAGCGTTGTTGACGTTGGATGGCGTCAACGAACTCATAACGAGGAAATAGAAGACAGGTATCTGGTTGTGCAACAAGTACCTCAGTCGCAGAAAACATCCAAACCCATCAACTACAGTTGCTCGGCCATCTGCTACGCATACCGAAACAGCGTCTACCGAGACGATTGTTCTCTGTGCCTCCTTCAGAATGGCAGGAACAGCAAGGTGGACAACATATGACTTGGCAGAAGGGTGTGAAAGAGATGACGAAGATTTTGGGTGTTGATGTGGTACGCCCTCCGGAATGGGGTCCACGTGACCCCTCCTGCAATTGCCTGGAAACGTTACAAGAAAGAGCGGCTGATCGATGTCAGTGGAGCTCATTACGGCTGGTTTTTTCAAATTTTCTGATTGAGCGCTTAGAGGTGTAGGTACATCAGAATCCTTGCGATAGGTCAGTACCAGGTCACCTCCACCTATTGTTTTCTCTTTTCATCCTAAAGCTTTAAATATAGTTAAGTGAACCTTGTGGTTGTAAGGCAGTGAAGCCTAAGTGTCAACAATGAAGTTGCTGTCTCTGTTGTTGTTGATGATGGTGATGATATCAGTGTTTTCACTGTTGTAGTCTACGCTGATGATTGTAATGCCGGTGGTGAATTATTCTACACATGCAGCTTACGGGATTCTTCCAGAAGAACAAACTTGGGTGTGGATTCGCGGAGACGTGGCGTCTGTCACGCTAAAAGGGCTGTATCTCCGAGCTACTTCGAATTCATTTTCGGAGAGGTTAAAGTATTCGAGTATATTACTACTATGGGGGCGAGATAGCTCAAGTGGTTAGAGTGCTAATCTACTGACCGGAAGGTCCGTGGTTCAAACCCGACCTCTGCCTCTCAACTTCCCCTGTCTTGGTTTGGGCAACCTGGCAGTATCCCAGCCCTCGTGCTTCCTTCGGGTGGCATGGCAGCTAGGCACCGGAAGGGTGTTACAGCTGAGCGATTATTTTTATGTTACTACTATCACCTATACCACGTCAGAGATAGCTATTCTCATTTCATCCTACTTTTATATTCTAGCCCATCTGAGTCACTTGTTTTGGAGTTCATCGTTTTTGCATCACATCAGTTCTACCTCGTCCAGGATGACAGTGGACCGCAACTTTTTAGATCTCTTTTGGACTATATCTGGACAAGACAGAACCAAGAGAAATGAAGCTATAGAACAACTTTTATGTTCGCTGACTGACAACAGCGGGAAGGTATGTTGCTTTATCGCTCCAGATATTTTTAGGCAAAGCCTGAGTATGTTGATTACACAAAGGAGCGGCTGGTAAAGGGCCTGAAAAGCTTCTCAGCAGATGCCCGTGTTGGGTTTTCGCAAACACTATGCTCCCTCCTTTGCAAGCATCCCTCATTTGTCACTAACTCACAATTACTGGAGCTTTTTAACAAGCATATTTACTCAACGGCTGCATCATCTACCAAAGTTAGTCTCATCGCGTATCAACAACGCTACACTTTGCAGGAAGAAAAATCCATTAAATATGCCTACATACTATGTCCAAGGGTGCTTTGCGAAGCTGACCGAATTACCCAGGTTTGTTCAGAGCTGTACCTCTCATCAGGTCATCTGCAGTTGAAACTGGATCAAATCAAACCTGTTGTTGACCGTTTTCTCTCACTGTCATCAACTCCCAAGCTAAAAGCTGAAATCCTGTCAGTGTCACAGCTCCTCGTTTCTAAGGTATTTGTATTATATGCATTCATCTATGTATTCGTTTAAGCTCCCGCCCAAGTTTGTCCATAAGCTGTTCTCAGATTTCGCACAGAAAGTTTGGCAGTTGTTCTCTCTTACGGATTCTGAACTCCTGGGTGATCAACTCTTATTCCTCTTGCGGTTGCGCCGCCGTCTAAAGGTAACTAGCCAGGTTGCTGTATATTATCGTTTCTCACCACAGGGGCTTGACGTTGGTGAGCTTCCAGCTTCATTTGATTTATCATCTAAAATGTTTCGAAGGAAGCTGATCAAAAGTTTTCAGGTTTGTTTGCAGCACTCCATGTCATCTGTATTAGAACTCCACAGGAGATACAGTCCTGTCGCTGGTGGATGAAACAGTCGAACAAACCGCACTGAAAATTATTTGGCCCAAATTGTCTGGTAAGTTGTACTCGCCTAAATATTGCTGGGATGTAATATGTTACATCTTGCGTTTAATGTGATTCACTGATACCATAGAGTCTCTATGTGCCACTCGGCGTAACCAATCGATGTATTTCATAAAATACGCCTTTCTACCTACTGTTGTTAGCGATAAAGCCTTGGAGTAGGAACCACATGTCTGGTTGACCAGTTTATCATATGAATTACTGATCTTATGAGTTGATTCCTTCTGTTGTCGACTCCCACAAATGCGTCATTGTAACTGAAACATCCTACACGATAACCAATCCCCGAAGCGGCCACGTGAGCATTGGTACTCCGGCCGCTTCGGTATGCTTCAGCTGGCCTCCGAAAATGGGCCCCATTAATTCGACTTACACAAGATATCCCTCGAGATTTTTTTAATGAATTTCAGCTGACGTCCATATCACGCAACAACCGAAGTGTCTGGTGTGTGATTAACTAGGATACCACATCCCTAATCACACTCATACAGTACTTTAACTGACTGGTGTGCAAATTCACCTATTGCTATCGATGTTGTGAAGAGGGAATACTGCTTAGTTCAGACGGGAGGATGGAAACCTTTTTGAATCACTCGACGTTGGGAGGATCACGATGCAGCTAATCGCCAAACACGTCTGGGAACTTGGTGGGGTGTCGAGGTAAAACGGTTAAATATTGTAGTATATCAGAAACACGGCAGGCTCATAAGAGAACAATAGGGTGGGAGTAAATACGGGAAGTACGAACTAAATATGAGGCTTTGTGGATGAAGTTGGAGCTGTGAACAATGCGATTTAGCGTTTACATACGATACGCTCCACGGTTTTTCAGGTCTGATTGCAGTTGTCTATAGTACAACCAAACTTTCCATTTTTTTCGAATTAACGCAGAAGCATTGTGTGGTTGGCTCACTCTGAAATGCTGGGACACAATGAAATGAATAGTTGAACACTCACATTAAGGTATCCGTGAATGTTCGTGGGAGCCGTAAACTTATCTTTCCATTATTTCTTGGAATTCGTTGCTGTCAACTTGCCTTGATCTCATCGTTATCGTTGACAACGTCTTCGAAACCGATCCTTCCGAAATTCCGGGGGGAATCTGAACCACTTCGGGTTTTACATCAGGTTAATGGTGTCCGGCTTACAAGCCTGACTGTCACACTAATCTGGTTGCGAAATAAGTTTTTGCAGAAGTGACGCCGTTTCGTTGTTCGCTTTTTAATTTGTCGAAATATAGGTAGCACCGCCCCAACCAACCAATGGAATACGATGCATACAGACCAAAACACAGTGCGAATCACGAACGGGCCAATAATACTACGAAGGCATATACCAATTAGCCAATCACACGACAGGATTTTAGATACTCTTTAAAAGCTACATAAACGCAGCTGGGTACGGAGGAAGCACCCACTTAACCGCGCAATAACGATGTCTCTTCGACTGGGGATGAAACGTTTGCAAACTAATTGTCAAGCTCGGCAAACAGGTCAACTACCATCTGATCATTCAACAGTCATTGTTCGCTTCCCAGCAGTGTTTTTTCCTTTTGTTCTGTCCTGTCTTGTTCTATTCAGTTAGGTTTGTTGTTCAGCTCACAAGCCGTGCAGTGGAGTGCATTGCTTCATTCCCTGAGGATAAGACGACTAATGGAATTGGATCCACGTGTCGAAGTTGATGGCTCAGTCTATCCATTGACGACAAATAGACATATTTATCCAGTACATTGTGATGTGAGAGCTATGCAGCAAAGCCGATAGCTTCTATGCAAGACCACCATTGCCTGCGTGGAACAACCATATTTGTCAGGGTCATAAATCATTGCTTTATGTCGTCCCGCGGTTCCCCTCCAAACAGACGGTTAGGCGCTGGAGTATGTGGCCGTCTTTTGGTGTCTAAATCTGGAATAGTTTGTGTATTGTATCACTACTCGGGTGACATTTTTGTATCTCTTTAATTGTCCTAGACAACGTGAACATTCATTGCCTTAAGCGACCTGGAGTCTCCGACATTCTCACCGAATACTCCCATACTTTGATAGCCCGTGGCTAGAGTTGGTATTCGGGCAGCTTATTGGGGTTTCTCCAGGTAGTTTGTTTCTAAGCCTCAGTACGTCAAAATGCTGCCTGGGCAGGGTGGTCATAGTTTGAGCCATCTACTCCAGGTGAGATAGCTCATTGGTTAGAGCACGGATTTACTGACCGGAAAGTTCGTATTCGAGCCCGACCTCTGCCTCTCGACTTCCCCTGTCTGGCTGCAGTATCCAAGCCCTCATGCTTCCTTCTGGTGGCACGGCAGTTAGGCGTTGAAAGGATACTACAGCTGAGCGATTCGATTCGCATTCATCATTTACTCTCAATTGTACAGCTGCTCCCCTTTGAAAACTCTCTAATGTAGAAGTCCTCATGCAGGAGTTATTTCCATCGATCACCTTCCTAATATTAAATATGCCTTAGAGAGAATACCTCGCACAATAGATCGCTCATGCAGTGGTTGACTTAGGGGACAGTACATGGACTCCGAACTGATGGGTCCATCTGAAAACACCCCATTTTCTGTTGGTGCTGGATTGGCATGATCCATCGCTGGTCTGCCAGACTGTGGCGGCCCCAAAGTTGTTTACTTTTGTTCACTTCTTTCTGATATTCCATTAAAGGCATTCGATCACAGTAATGCGTAGCGAGCCTTATGCGACTAACGAACACGAGTACCGAACTCCGTGGTTGTTTTGAAAGGATGCTACAGCTGAGCGATTCGATTCGCATTCATCATTTACTCTCAATTGTACAGCTGCTCCCCTTTGAAAACTCTCTAATGTAGAAGTCCTCATGCAGGAGTTATTTCCATCGATCACCTTCCTAATATTAAATATGCCTTAGAGAGAATACCTCGCACAATAGATCGCTCATGCAGTGGTTGACTTAGGGGACAGTACATGGACTCCGAACTGATGGGTCCATCTGAAAACACCCCATTTTCTGTTGGTGCTGGATTGGCATGATCCATCGCTGGTCTGCCAGACTGTGGCGGCCCCAAAGTTGTTTACTTTTGTTCACTTCTTTCTGATATTCCATTAAAGGCATTCGATCACAGTAATGCGTAGCGAGCCTTATGCGACTAACGAACACGAGTACCGAACTCCGTGGTTGTTGGGCTTCGTTGGGATGTTTGTCTGTGTATCTTTTGTCCTGTTTCGTACCCAGTTCCTCACGTTAACATGTTATCAAAAGTTCAGGCCTTTTGTGAAGAACAAATGGAATAGAGTGAGCACTTGGTGGAACATTTGAGGACGCAGTTGCAGCCAGAGTACTAAGGAAATAAAAGTTATCGGAAGTATGTTCAGAATTCGGAACAGAATTGCAACTCTTCAGGGCATTCTAGTGAATGCTCGAGTTTACTGAACCTTGATAAGCTATATTGAAGGCTGTGACATTTCGAACAGTTCTGGAAAGGCCGAACAGTCGTCTATAATTGAGTCCAGGAACCCTGAGAAATTTGACTGTGACGTAAAATTGGACTCTACACTAAGTTGAAGTCTCCATCAGAGATAACAGCTTTAGTCGGCTGTGTGAGTGCTATTTTTAGAGAACTATTGTTTATGAGTTTTACTTGGTGATCATATGTGTTGAATCGGGTTTCCTTCTCTTCGCATAAACAAATTTGGCTTCGCAGTCTAGAAAGTTTCCTGTTCCTGGGCATGTTCTTGTTTTGTTTCACTTTCTCTGTCAATGAGAGCTCACCAGAATGTGTTCTCTTGCTATTTCAGGTTTACTTTGTGACGAGAATGCCTCAGTACGTTGTCGCAAAACCCTAATGCAGATAGCTTCGCACATCATTTGCCAGCATGGTGATGATTGGACACGGTACATTCTGTCAGAACCGGTGATACTGGTCCTAATCCGACAAATGTCAAAACCGACTTTATCTTGTTTTGAAGACGCCTGTTCTCTAATGAGGCAATGCTTACAGACCGTTTGCGCGCCGTATACCAAGAAGCGGGCTGTGGTGGTCCAACCAGCCGAACCAACGGATGCTGATGACGGACGAAGACCTACCTCTCCATCAACGCTATTTTCATGCTTTGCAGAACTTCATCCAACCTGTGATCTGATCTGTGCGCACAGTGCTCCAAAACCCCTTCAGGTCTGTTGTCCCAACTTGTCGGTCACTTGCTATTTTCCTTATCCATATGCTTTTGTGAACGACTAATTGGACGTAAATGTCGTTTTTCTAGAAACTACTACTGATGTTTGTACAGCTTATGAACAAATCATGAGGCCATTCGGTTATTTTGAGATGGAAATCAGTTTTCTGATGCGGGCACACAAGAAACGGAACTATCTTATTTCATGAGTCTGAGGCTTAGAAACGTGCAGCAACGGGAAGGATACAAATCTGGCGCGAATTACTTATAACGCTACTCGCGGTGGCGTTATTGGGACTTCTATTACACCTAAATTGGTATTGTATGTGCAACTCAATGTTTCTGCGAAATGTAATATGGCAGTTCATCATAGAAAAAAGGACTGGAAACCAATCAGAAATGTTTCCATTTCTAATCACTACTGGTTTTAAGGTGGAAATGAAATCCACCTAACAATATGGTGCCTTTCGCAGTGTTTACATACCGCAGCATTTGCACCGCAGTGTCGGTGGTTCGCACCCACCCTCAGCATATTGACTGCTCCTGTGTAGGCTTGGGCAACCTGGTGTTATCTCAGCCTCCGTACTTCCCTCAGGAGTGCTTGTGACCCTCAGGACCACTAGTAGCCCGGCTTTCTACTCGAAAAACATCCTACTGAAGTAAAATAGACTGTTTTTATGGTCCCGTTTGCATTCTTACGATTGTAGTCATCCGTGAGACCAAACCATCCATCGGACCAAACCCGATCTTCCAGCCTGTGCCCAACTTAGACGTTGAACAAAAGAGTCATGTTCTGGTGGAGATTTCATCCTGTTAGTGAAACCAATCTATGCTGAAAACCTGAGAAGCACTGTACATCACATGTTCTCCCGGCTTTGCAGTATAGGTTGGTTTCACCTACAAGATAAAACCTCCGCCGAAATTCCAAAGTCTCCTCACACTACTAACAATCTTTAGGTAGCTCGGAGGGAAAATAAAATTCACCTGATGACTGAAACTTACGTCTGCGACGTCGACGCCCGAGGAGCCAGTGACTGAAGGATGAGCGGCGATATATCCTAAGTGCGAGTTAATCACACTGCTAGTCAGTCGTTCTTGACCGAACAGTCGATTGTTCAAACTACTGGCCAGGAGGTCGCGGGCTGAGAACTCTCCAGAGTTTCGTGAGATGTGCACTGCTGATGATTCCCAATAAGAATGAAACAGCTGTGGAGTGCTTCTCGGCTTTTCAACATAGGTTGGCTTCACTTACAGGACGAAATCTTCGCTGAAATTCCCCAATCTCCTCACACTACCGACAGATTTAGGTTTAGTGAGGCGTGATATGAATCGCAGCTACCTGGCAACTCATGACTTTGATTGCGCAGAGTATCTCTTGTTGAATCAATCAAGTCGATTCGAAATAATTGTCCCCGTACCTAAGTTATTTTGGTTTTGCTCCTCAGGTGAATGATCAGATCGTCTTGTTTTCAAAACGACGTAATTTTTCACCTATCAGCCTGTCAATTGTTCCGGAACACTGCCTTCAAGCATGCGCCGTGCGGAGGTGATTTCACTTCACCAGACAGTGAACAACACCCGTCTCTTCAAGCTTTATTAGTTTTCTGGGTGACAGGTTTGACGGACGCCCAACACAACCCTACGCACTCTATGCTGTCTCACATGCACGATCAGTTATTAATTCTGAAGTTCTGAAATAAGATACTACAATTTCAAATTACTCTCCGATCGCCTTTGTTCTAATGGTTCCCTGCGGCTTACGCAGTTATATCTGCAACGCGATCCGAATGTATGACTACCTTGAATGTTATAAAAAAATGTGCTTTTGAGTAATTTCTCTGAGGTAATATTTCCCATTGCGTTCCGCAGGCACTTCGGTCATTGCGGTTTCTTTAACAGAAACTTTTTCCAAGTGGAAGCTCACGACACTAATGGTGGTCCATGCTGTTACTTGGATGCTGTAATCGCAGATACTATGGTCGTCGTGTGTTCGTTTCTCATTGGCATTTAGTCAATTCAGGGCCTAGTTGCTGTCTGCAGTCCTGTCATCGCGTAGATATCTTCTCCAACAACAACAACCTGTTTTTAACCCATCAGCATTCCTCTGCATCATCTCTTCACCTCTTCCGTGTTGAAGCAGTCCGTCGTTCTAACGAATACTCCAATAAACTGCATTAGCACTGTTTTACTAAAAGCGGGAGATCGTTCTTCGTCAAGCTAAGATGTCTTGAGGAGTGTATGCAACTCTTAGGATTTCATTCCAGAGTTGACTCCCCCCCTCAGTGGCAGTTAATCGAGATCCCACAAATTTGTCGGAGCGCACCGTTCAACATAAGGTGATGGTTTGTTGTTATGAGGTTAGTATCGTTGTTTCACTCCTTTTTCGCTGCTTTAAGAAGGTTGTCTTCATCAGTTTGTGTACTACCCATCCCGGAACGGTGATTCTCTCTCTTGACAACGGACAATGTAAGTTTCAAGTCAATTTTGAAATCGACACCGACAATATCCACGCGTCAATTGTTTGCCGGATAAAGGGTAAACTCAGCTACTGATATTCGATAAGATTTACACATTTTAAGAGTTGATGCCAGTCGCCGAAAATCCCGGATCACTGGCTTTGCATCAGCAGTTCCTGGTGCACTGTTTTCTCACCTATAGCCTGTGGTTTCTTACCTTGCTTTTAATGGTACAACTGGCAATGGGTTACCCCCATGAGCCTGTCAACAGTTTTTGGCATCGGGCAGCCATCGTTATTTAGAGGAAGCGATTTGTCACTCAAGAGTTCATTGATGGTAAAGCGCAAAACCATGTTATCCGCTTGACTTTCTTCCCTATCGCGGTTGCTTCGTTTACTGGGACGGAAACTTTGGTCGTTCTGGTGTATCTTGTATATTTTCCCATCTGTACTTCAACCTTCCACCACATTCATCTTCCACTCATATTCCACTTACAGTCATCGACTACCAACTATCTCACTAGTGTAACCATCTATCCGTCCACTTTGACCTTTTTTGAGAACACAAGACTTGAAGAAAACAGAATTTTTTCTACATTTTGATCACTCTGTGTAATGTCCCTAGTCCCACAATTCTCGTAGACCTAGGACGGTGCTCAGGCTCCACATTCGCTCCAGACTCTTCTTTTCATTTCGCTCTACTGTCCAATCACGTTTTTTTACTTCTGGATTTTTGAGCGTTTTTAGACGAGTCATGGATTTTCGCACCCTTCCGTTGCATATAGCCTTCCTGTATTGTCTCTTCTTTTACTTCTTTCCAATAGTTTCTGATGAATTTCGCTCACCAAGCGATTGGGAGTGAGGCCTTGGTTTCGTATGCAAACAAACTGATGCGACTGTTCATCCAACCGAAGTCTTTCACCGTTGGTCATCCTGACCTTGATGCAATCGACCAAAATGTCTTACGAAGTTTCGCGGCGTTCCAGTTGCACCGAGTTCTCTGGTGTCTCCTTCGTCCACCGACCCCTTCGGTCTTATTGGGTTCGGTTGAACATTTTCTCACGTTTTTTGTGACATTTGGCCTGACCATTCACAATTTGCCAATACCCGCTGAGTACCAGTCTGAAACACCAATCGGGCGCTCCGTTGCCAATACTTGTTGGTTATCTTTCTTCCGCCTGTTGACTCAGTTGGCTTCTCATTCAGAGCCAGCTGTTCAGAAATCGCATGATAAAGTCTCAGCACCACATTCATTACTCTCAGACTCACTGCTGCTTGTTACCAAGGCCACTACGGAGCTGTTGGATGCGACGATCGATCAATTGGAGACCTCTGTCCCCCGTTTGTCAAGCCACCTACATCAGTCTGTTTCTCTGCTGAAGAAGGCAAGGTCGGAGGATAAGCTCGGGCTCGCAATGGCTAACTTGCATGCCGTGACCTTACTTTATTACCTCTCAAATCCTTCAGGTTTGTCCTTTTTCGTGTTCACTTCTTCCCACTGGATTTTATTTTTATCGTTTGTTTATGGTGCTGTGAATTATGTGATTACTTCCACGTGGCAGACTTCTTCACTCTTTCTTGTCTGGCTTTCAGATGCCCTTAATGTATTGATGGACGATTTGGCTGAATGCTTCAAACGTAGACGCAACTGCCACAAGGGACATCCTGTGAATGACAGTGGTCCAGCTTGGCCATCAGTACTCACAGACGTTGTGTTGGGTCTCATTTCCAACCCATCAATTATGCTCCGTTCTTTTGCGCGCAACTTGTTTGACCAGTTGATTGTGAACGGCGATGCCAGTAAGGAGTGCGTCCGACTAATCTGCGATGTATCCAATACTCGCGTGGACCGTCGAAATGTCAAAAAAGTGGATGATGATGATGAGGATGAGGAAGCAGAGGGACTGATCGCTTTTTCCGACGAAGAATTGGAGACAGTGGAAGAGAAAGACGATGCAGATGAAGAATTGGATGCGGAAACAGGTCCGGACAGTGAAATTTCAGAAGACAAAGAAGTCGATGGTACTTGATATTTTGTCATGTTATTGGCTGTTAGATTCGTCATTTTTACCTTTGTGGGCTAGATGGTAGTTTAATCCCAAAATCATTTGTCGGTGGCTTTAGTCGATAGACGATCGATTTTTTGTTCGTCGTTCTGTGAGTACATACGATCTTTTTACCCCAATTGTGCTTGATGGAACCATTCGTCGGCTAATCACCTTGAAATAACCCTAGCCATGACGCGGGCCCCCTGAAGAAACTTAATTCGGATCTCCTCTAGGGTTGAGCGACCTGACGGATTCGAATCTGACCGTTTGCCTCGCCTCCAGTTCTCCATCTTAGAAGTACAGAGGGCCATTTGCGTGGCATACTTGTGACACTTTGCTCATCATTAGAAGTTCGAGGTAGCTCACTGGTTGATTCGCGAGTTTATTGACCAGTTGTTTCGTTGTTCAAGCTCGACTCTAGCGTCTCGGCTGTTGCTGTCTAGGCTGGGGCTCTCTTGCTTGCTTCCTTCGTATCGTATCGCAGCTAGGCAACAGAAGGGTGTTGCAGTTGAACAATTGCTACTATCATTATCCATTATTCGAAAAGCTATTACAGGTCATAGAGCGCTCCTTGTGAGTACAGGCGACACTATCCGTAAACTCAACCTATATATTTTAGTTTCCTACGAGCACACTAAGACCACTTCCATGGGGATTCATTTTTGAAGTTTACCGAAGCAGATGTACGGTTCGAATAAACAGTACACGAAACTGTCTAAGATGACAGTTTAGTGCTGCGGACGATGCACTTATGTGGTATCCGGAAACTTGGTAGCGTGGAGATAAACAGCGTAATGACTAACGCAAGTACCAAGAAGAGGAGGAAATAGAATGGAACAACTATAAATGTTGAACTATTATATAGTTGAGACCGTGTACGTATGCGGTCTTACCACACCGCGTTTGCCGAGGTCAGATGTGAGTCCGCGCGGTCAGCGGATCCGATTCAAACATGCCGGCACTGGTGATCTCTGACACGAACAGGCATACTCCGCCCTACCTATTTTGTGTACATGGGATCAAATTAGTTTATCAGGAACCGCTAGCATATGGAACAAAATATCGGTGCTGTCATCTGTGTTGCTCACGTTTCTGCACGCAAGAGGTGTAAAAAGTAGAACGGTTGATATTGGTACTAAAATACCTTCGATTATTGTTAACAGGTACGCTACCAACATATGTCGTCATTGAAGTGTTGTCTGTTTGCAAGCCCCGTCACAGTCGAAATAAGCAAGACAAATCATAGGCGAACCCGGAGGCGATAATCCCATTTCTCATTTTAAATATACACGACTATGTCCTGTTCATTTGGAAAAATCAGAATGACGGTTCACCGGGACTGACAGATGTGACATTTTTCTATCTATACCACTCCCGAGTATTTTACAGTGGTTACGGAAACAGCTGTTCGTCACTCTCACGACCACCGCCTAGAGTAAGTGACACAACTATGAAAATGTATGAAACGAATCCAACTGGATTACTTCGTATGGCATGCAGGTTTTCCGGAAAAAAAAGAGGGTCAGGATATACTACCAAGGGTGATTGTATGTTTGATCTGTACTGACTTCAGTGTTTAGCTCTCCGTTAAAGCTCTTGTCTGTATTTCTGAGGTTCTTTTACTTTTGTTTGATAGAAACGGAAAGTGATCAGTCCGAACAGTCGATTTCCGGATCTGAGAGTGACGATGACTTGGAGGAACAGATCGAAATGGACGAGGCCCATCTTACTTCATTCCGAGAACGAATAAAGGCAGCCCTTGGCCCAGCTGCTCTGGCTGAGGATGAAGTCGACTCAACTTCCTACCGCGAATTCACGGATGAAGAGATGTTCGCACAGGATGAGGCTCTGGCGGCTGCATTCAGAGCCAACCGACTGAATACTCCAAAACGTACCATTGCCCAGCGTGCTCGCTCCCTCGGGCAGCTTAAAATGCGGTATGTTTTGCTCTAGGATACAACTCATATCTTGCTTATCAATTCACACATGAAAATCTTATTGTTAAATGCAGTCAATCTGTGGAAAAGAACTCGAGATCGCTCGGTTGTTAGGGCACACAATTACTGATCGGTGGGTCCGTGGTTGGAATTCAACCCCAGCATCTCGACTGCTTATGCCTACGCCTGGACAACCTGGACGTATCTCAGCTCTCGTGTCACCCTTTCGGATGGCTTGACAGCTAGGTACCGAAAAGATGTTACAGCTGAGAGATAATTATCAGGTGGAAAGGATCGCAGCTTGATTGCATGTGATTTCCTTCCGCATATTCTGGTGTCTGTGTGTGCGCCTGTAAAGGAGGTTTTCACACCTGCTTATAACATTTTCATCTGACGTTTTTCCGGGTATTCACAGGGCCCTTAAAGTTGGCGCCAATAATGTCCCCAAGTTCACTAGTTTTGCCGACCTTTGTACCGAGAAAACGTCGTACTTGGTTAGTCGTTTTTAGATTGAACAGTTGGAACATGGGGTTTGTATGTCGCATTATTCTGACTCAACGATATCACTTTACTCTCGGTTATCATTCGGTGTTGATGATTTCGTGTGGAAGTATTGGTAGATTTTTCAAAAGGATTGTCACAGCTTTTCGTAATGTGATGAGACGGATGTCTTTTCTGAAGATGCTGCACTAGGTTGTTCGGCACAGATTGTGTCCAGTTGGATAGCGCCACGGATGGGATGTCAAACAAAGCGTTTCAAACTATTTCTCAGTTGAACCTTGCGACTCAACTCCTCCGAATCGATTCTACCTCCTTGTCGAAACAGTTTGCCAGTGGTCGTTGGTTTGTTTGCTGAGCTGGGAAGTTTCATTGCAAGTGTTTCATCACCAGTCGAGGTGACATCATCAGTGCGCTGTTGGATGGTGCAGTAGAGCGTAGCAGTGAATCAGTAGCAAAATCACCTCCCTCCTTAACAACGCTCTAATAATGTCAACTCGATTGGTGATAAAACGTTTGCAATCAAACTGCCCAGATCAGTGGACAAACCAACGGAAATCTACGCTACCTGTGCTACCAACATTCTCCTCAGTAACAAAAAGCATGCCAGTATGGCAGGGGACGTCATTTGGAATAATCAAAACTCACGTCAGTTTGACGACCACATAATGATTTGACTGCTGGTCAAATGCAGGATCGCTCTTGTTGGTTCGAGCAAGGTATTTTAGCTCAGCCGTTACCGTCCCTTCGCGAAGACTCTGACATAATGTCGTCGATTTGGTGTATAGAAAAGGTGTCTGAGGGGCGGATTTACTGAACAGAAGGTTCCTGGTTCGAACCCAACCTCTCTGCCTCTCGACTTCCCCTGTCTAGGTTTGGGTAACCTGGCAGTGTCCCAGCCCTCGTGCTTTCTTCGGGTGGCATGGCAGCTAGGTACAGCTGAACAGTTTTTTTATGGATAAGATGAAGCAATCTCGATTTCTCGCAATACAAGCTGTTTAAAACTTTTTGCTATGCGTTCGTGAGTACCACAACAAGGGATTTTACGTGTGCAAAAGAGTGTGGTTGTTTTGCGTGGAAAAATCTGTGTAGAGCCGCATATAAGGTTTGGGTATCAAATGGAAATCAAGGATGATGGATTCATCACACAAACATTGCTTCAAATCTCTATTGCCAGACCTCTACATTCGACTCGAAGGCCCTGATCAGTCCAGCTGTCATCTTAGGAATTTCCAACCCCCCATTTGTTCTGTTTCAAGTTTTCAGTACTGTGTACTCCATAAAGTACCCATGAAGAGTCGAAAACGGGATGAAAATTTACGCAGGGGTGTTTTGTCATCTCAGATGAAAGCCGGGAGGCAGGAGACAGTTGGGATATACATGCGAGTATTGTAGGAGATGATATTCAAGTTAGTTCGAGAACTGGATAGCTGCACATTGAAGACGGCAGCAATGATGCAAGAGAGCCACGTAGTATATTCCATAGAGTACGCATGAATAGCCGGAAATATAACTTATCAGAAGGGGATGGAGACTAATGCAGAGGGTTTTCGCCATCTCAGATGGGAACCACTCGATCTCCCCTGTTCTTGGATGACACCTGTGAATTGCCACCACTAACGGATATGTTGTCGACTTCAATTGGGGTTTTCTTGGTGTTCACTGTTCAGTTCCATACAGTTTATCAGCTACAAACCATGTACCAAGGGAACGTGAGTCTAGCAGTTACGGTTCCGATCGCCAGAAGGTGAGAGAAGATGAGACATGCAACCAAGAACTGCAGGAGATGGTATGCCCAGTTAGTTCGGCAACTGTGCAACGACCCATTGAAGGCAGTAGCTTTGAGGCACGAACCCCACTGCGCGATTGGACCATTTCTTCCACTATCACTAGCCATTGATGAGTTGAGTTCCATGGACCCCATCCATGGAGGTGGCAGTTGTTGACACGGCTGTGTGGACTGGTTAGTGATTACATACTTTGTTACCAGGTCATACACTGTCCACCTATCAGCCGCTGCCACTAAGCACAGGGCTGAGCGAAAAGAGGCAGGCGGTGCTCCGGCATGCGGAATTCGTGTTTTAAACAAAGTAACCTATGAAGCATGAGTAATTCATTCGTCGTTGGAGAGTTCCTTCTTCCTAAAACCATCTGACACGCCTCAGCATTGCTGAGCAGACGTTTCGACCAGACCTGACCAATGCTTGCGAGATATTGACGGTCAAACACTGACAACTTTTTACGTCCTATACTCGTAAGAACAAATTTCTCATCCATGAAGCAATATGGATCGCACTGTCGCAGTGTGAACTGTGCCCTTGACAGAGAAACTGATGCCACGTCGGTGGCAGAGGCGTTGGTGGTTTACAGAAGCTGTCCTGGCTTTCCCGATTCGATCAGTAATATCATCTGCGTCCAGCACACCAGAATTTACACTACTCCTCGGGCCAATTGAACATTACATCAGTTGGCTCGCCAGCAAGCATGAGATTTCGGGTTTGATTTCATCCAGTCTTGTAGTGGCACTTTACGCGTTGCAGGTGTGTTGCGCAGCAGAACTATTCAGGGTTGTTTGAAATGGTTTGAATTGTTGAATGATCTGAACCAAGGAGAGCAATATCGTCCGGCTACTTAATTCTTGTCTGCTTTAAAACGTCTCCATTTTCCCCTGTTACGGATTATATCAGTTGCGATGTTTTTGGGCCGTATATTGCACTTCAAAAGTCGTGCGTTTTCGACGAATTTTCACACTTTTGTTCCGAACCTCTGTTTCAGCTGTTTGGATCAATTTGAGTGCATCCTCCAACACTCTTCACAACCAGAAGTTTTCTGGGTACGTGCACCCTTCAGTACTATATGTTACGGATTCTGCTATACACTTGCCCTCCTAACTATCTAGAGAATAACTGTTGTATTGCCTCCGTTGATACATTTTAACTGGACACAAAAAATTGTTCGACAATGAGTTTCTATGTTCCATTCACTTGGCTACTTAGCTGTTACATTTCAGGCATGAGCTGCCGACCAAAATGATCGGCGACCCCATTTAATCTTGACTGCGAACACTCGGCATTTTCCCGTCCCCTTTATTCCCTCTGAGTTTCGTAGAAACCAAGCCCGAAAACCATGGCTCAGCTGGGCTATTTTAGTTTATCTTTGTACGACTTTTCAGTAGTGTCTAAGCCGACCCAAATGAAGAACAACCCTTAGAGTCCGAAGGTGAATTCACAAAATGTTCAACCCATTAGAAGTATGATGCATCTCGCTTCCATATGCTTCCAGGTGCGATAGTGCTTGAAAACGAACCGTTCATTGTGCTTTACTTTCCCAACCCAATAGCCCACGATTACCCACATGTTAAATCTGGCCAAGGAAGCGTGTGTCGCCGAAAGGAAAGCGCATCCTAATGAAAAACAGCAACCAACCAGAAACTTGAAGAAGCTTCGTCAACGTCTTAGTGATGTAGCCCGTAGCGGGGATCTTCCAGGACTGCAAAGGGTACTTGAAATTCTGAAACGTGTCACATCACGTGGACTCAACTTGGAAAGTCAGCTGGTAAAAGCTACGTTGGCTTTGCCGAATGTGGCGGAAACATTGGCGACTGTGATGACAACTATCGTGGAAGCGAGCAAAGTCGGTCAGTCGCATTTTATCGTTTATAGTTTGCTTGCAGTATATTCATACGTTTTTTTTTCAGGGGGGGGGGCGAGATGGCCCAAGTGGTTAGAGCGCGAATTTACTGACCGTAAAGTCCGGGGTTCGAATCCGACCTCCGCCACCCGCCTCTTCCACCTGGCAGTGTTCCAGCCCTCGTGCTCCCTTCGGGTGACATGGCAGTTAGGCACCGAAAGGCTGCTACAGCTGTACGATTAGGATGTAGCTTTACTTGACGTTTGTAGAGCTCACGCCAAGACGGTATAAATTTAAGTCCATTGAAGTTTGTCGCGTTAACATGGCTGCTACCGGTTCAACTGTCAACATTCGAAGGTGAAACGTGGCACTATAAGTCAAAATATCTAGCCCTCAGTGTGTTTATTCCGGGAAAAAATGCAGGAAACCCAAGTGATCTATTCGTACGGTCACTAGTAAAATTAGTAGGAGCTAAAGTAACTTCCTTGTGCTGGTCCGCTTCAGTGCTTTTCTGAGACACCTGTGCATGGGTTCCCTGAGGTATGCACTAATGCACCTCTGTTGTTGCTTATTTCGGTCCTCCGTTATCGAGTAATAGACAGCGATCTGTCTGCTAGTGCGTCTCAGGGAATTCCAGTCGGGTCAAATTTAGTGTTTTGAGCTGACCACTTTAAAACATCGATATTACGATACGGAAACCCGTTGTTGGTCTGGTCAGCGGTTTGGAATCCCTGTTGGGTCGTCACATTATCTTGGTATTCAGATACGAACTATTTTACTATTCCTTTGCATGACTGACTTTCAGTTATCATCAAATGTAGCCTATTTCATCAGTCGCAGGTAAATAGTCATCTTGACCGACACAACAATTCGCCTCTACGCGTAACTAACTTCCTCAGCTGTTCAGTCTATTCCACTGCACTTTCTTTTTTGTCCAACCAAGCTGAGGTCCGTCAAAAGTCTCAGCCTAAAACAAGTAGTTGCAGTGATTCGACCCATGCAGTCATCTATCTGCATATCAATTTGGCTTTCACTGTCAGAAAGTTTTCAGTAGCCTTTTGAGTAGTGTATGATACGTCTGTGGTTGCAAAGATGTTTCCCAATAAGATTCCTTCATATCCCAGCCATAATATAAGTGGAACTGCTCTGTTTAGGCCTGTGAAAGAAATAGCGCTGTATACTTAATGGCGCTATTGGGTGTGCATACTATGGAGTGCTTTAGTAGCTTTCGGTTAGTTTTATACCTTGATATCTGCATCCATTGCTTCAAAATCCGGGACTTCTCCCCGATTTTTTACAGGCTCGCCTCAGCCGTATTATTTGAATGTCATCACGGCGATAGCGCAGTTTGTGGTAAGTCACACCCACTCTTATACTCCTACTATATTTCATTGCTTTCTCACCAAAAGCGCGAGCTCAGCTGTGACTTGTTTGCTGAGCTCGAACTACAAACATTTCGTCACCATTTTTGGACAGATCGTCAGTGAGCTGTTGCTTGGATGTTTCCTTATCTCGTTTTCGTATTCACATAATTTTACCAAGAACAGCGCGTATCTCTTAGGCGATTGGCTGGCGTTGTTTCCATTTCTGTGGTGACCAAGGAAGTAACTTCTCTGAAGCCGAACTAGAACTTCGGCATTTTCGGAAATTGCTAAATTACAATCCCGTTTGTAAGAGAATGCTAACCCACAGCGTCAATTGGTACTTCAGTCCACCCTATGGCATTCATCGCGGAGGAGTATGGGAGCGTCAGATGCGATCTGTCCACCGAATGCTGAGTGCAGTCTCCCGCGAGCAAGTGTTGACCTCTTTCATTGACGTGGAGCGTATTTTAAATAACCCTCCAATTGCACCCGTGTACGGTGATCCAGACTCAGACATGCTAACCACTTTTTATTATTGCGGAGACCGTTTGAGTTGTCAGGTAATGTGGCCAATATACGCGACGGATATACCCAGTGTTGGAGAAAAAAGCGTGTTGGCTGTTAAATTTTTGCGTCGATGGTTGAAGGAGTACATTCCGCTCCTACAGATACGACACAAGTGGATGCGACATCGTCGAGATTTTTGAGTTGAAAACTTTGTATTATTCAGCGGCGAAAATCCAGGTCGCGGGTATCAGGAGAAAGGCATCATAGCCCGGAAATGACGTCCATATTCGCAAAGTGTAAGTAAAGACTGCCTCACGTAGAGGTTAGGTGGGATATACGTTCACCTGCCTGCTAGAAAGAGTAGAACACAGCTAGTTACTCACCCACCTTAGGCGTATGCTCCGGATTGAGGGAGACATTTGTGGCTAGACCGTTCGTACCACTCTCGTTGATCTGATTCTTACATGTGGTGGATTGATTTGGTAGATCAGCGAAAGTCATGCTGGCTTTGTGGGCAGTGTTGATTCTTCTCTCCTATTCTTATTTCATACAACCCGATTCCCCGTATTTTGTCATTTCGGTGTTGCACCTATACCAGCTTTCTTGTTTTTGACCTGAACATAGACCTCACTTTGACCTTGTTATCGCACGTGGTGTGGTCGATTCAGGCAAATCAGTCCACTGGGCGTTTCCTCCCGATTGGGACTTATCGGGGGATGTGGCGGGATGCAATCGACTGATATTCAGGTTCAGATTTCGCTATGTTAGCCGCAACACTACGCGCCTGCCAAATTCATGAGACTTGGTCGCTTTCCCTAGACTGACCAGAGTCGCTCTAACTATCACTTGCAAAACTCCAAGCCAGACTGCTTGACAATTATCAGGTGCTACGCGAGGGTTGTGCATAGTTGTGAGCAATCTTTGACTAACTGCAAGCGAGTGGATCCAAAGCGAGTTTAAATGCGTGGAGTAAATCTGACAAGAAACTATTTTATCTGATTAACTAAACCAAAAAATGTGTTGACTCGCCTGTAGGTAACGTCTTGGGGGTTAGAATCGGTGAGGTTCAGTTCAGTGACACGTGGCTGGATAAGCCAATCCGGTTACACTTGAAAAGGGTAAATGTGTCAAGCTTCATTTGGCCTTGCTATATTTTTCCATATAGGATGTTTGCATTCCATGGTGGGACCGCGGATGGGGGACCGCGTGATCCTCACTGTGTTCGTCTTACGCTCCAGGCATGCACTCAGCAAATCTGTCGTAACAGTTGTTGGCTATTTTGGGGAAAAGATGAAATGTTCGAGGGTGACAAGACAGGAAAAGTTGACCCGTTGTCGGAAACACGGGTGGCGTTCATCGAGTGTTTTAAGTCATTGCTGTTGTCAGCCTTCAATGTTATCAGTCAAATGACACTGACCTCCAATAAACCATTATTTTTCGCAGTTCCACGTGGCTTCGGCATGTTCTGAACCGGAAGGGCTGTTGATTGTTGTATCAGAACCACTTCTGAAAGAGTTTCACATCTATGTGACTTCTACACGAAAGTCGTCAATCGCCGGTGGCTTTTTCCTGACACTTTTACACCAGTCACAGGTACGTTCACTTTCATTGACCATAATTCTAGCTTTTACATGTTAAAATGGAATTTGAATTAAACTGCTGTCTCACTGCGAAAGTCTGGTTGCAGATGCCGCTGGTACGAAGTTCCTTCTTATTCTCGCTTAACAGTCCGCCACAAACTCAAATTTCTGTAATGTAACCTATTCTCTCTTTAGCTTGATCAACGCCACTCTTTCAGGCGCCTCAGACAGGTCATTTTGATATGAAAGCTGCTTTCGACGCTGTCGATCGTCAGAAACTTTGGTGGTGTCTGGTGGTCAATGGTGCCCCTTCTCAATGTATACCCCTTATGAGGGTACTGTGGACGGGTATGAGTATACAGCAATCTTTCACCTGAGTGCACAAAGTCCAGTGCTGTAAAACACAACTGCCCTCTCTCGCCTTTTCTCTTCAATTGTGTTTTGGATGTGTTTGTCCCGGGATGTTCGCTCACAGACATTGAGTATGTGGATGATATTGCCCTCCTTGGTTCAGATCCTTCGAAAATGCAAATCTACTCTAAAAGCTTAGTGATGTCAAACAACTAACGAGGAGTGTGACAACAGTCAAACAAATCTTGTTAGTGTCGGGCGCACAAGCCGTCAGAAATGGCATGGGGGCTCCATACTCTGTCGTTACCCAAGCCTGTACATTCAGTCTGAGTCTTATGCAGTTCTGTTCACTTCGAAATCCTGACATTTAAGGCATCAGCTCCTCGTAGTTGGAGCACGTTCTGATACTCGATAATATAGACAGTGATAAAATTCAAGACTGTATCGGTTTTCAGAAGACTGACCCAGTCACTTGAGGCGGAAAATCCTCAGAGAGTACAAGGTGCGCGCAAACACTGTCACTCGTGCCATCCTGACGGAAACAATGTGTTTCAAAGAGGCTGTCGAAAGTTCGTGGCGGAATTACCAACGTCGATAGAAAAAGTACTTCTTACTTGGCAGCTATCAACTAAGACACGATGGGTTTCTTGACGTTGCAGTGATTAGTGGAACTATCGGTTACCTCCGGGAAGGTTTATGCACAACAGGTCTCCTCCTTAGGCAGTTCGTGGAAGCAGAATATGGACGGGATACTAGCAAGAAGCGTTGAAGCCGTCAAGAGAAAAAAAGGCTAACTGGCCGGGTTTGTTCACACGGCACAGGTTATTAGAACAAAACAAGTAATTTTTGTAGTAGGCTGACAGCAATGTCCCTCCTCGATTGAAACAGTAAGGAGCCGTTGCCGTGGAGGCCTATTGTTGTCCTCTTTAGAAGTAAAAGAGCAGAATCCTGTTGTTCCCGTTCCATCCATGGGGTATCCACACTGACCCAAACCAAATATTTGCTCTTTCACTCAGGTATTCGCTACGCACGCAACACATTTGATGCTAGACGCGTTTTTCAAATTTCTGGAATCAGCATCCTTATCGAATAAGACCCCCGATGGCGCTGAATTGTTTGCGCATACAAACTGTTGCAACGCGCTTGGGATGGTGTTTCAAGCGCTCGCGGAGAAGCGATACGATGAATCGTACTTCTCCAAAGTACCTAAGCGTATCTTCACTCGCTCCATTCGATTTTTGTCCGGCCTGAACTATGATTCTGTAGAAGACGTCAGGTGCTTCGTCTGGTTCTCCAAGTTGTCAGTTGCGACCGCTGTTTTCAATCTTCTTACCTGGGCTACTAAGGTTGCACGAAAACAGGGCTTCGAATTGGTGAGTTCATTTTTGCTCCTTCTTGTCCATTTTGACGTTTTCAACTTTACTAACTGATTCACTTTGGACTTTAGTGCTATCTTATGCTATTCTGTTGCAGTTTTTTTCATCAGCTGTCGATTTTATGCTTTCCTGGTTTTGGTGTGGAATATCGGACGCATCATATTGTAGCAGAACAGCCTACCTCCCTCCAAACTTTCCCCCGAAATCATCGGGTGGAAAAACTCTTACGGTAGTTCGCAGTTATTGATCGTCTTAAAATTAGCCGAGCACATATGACGAGTGAATTTAACAAATCCGGGATTTCATAAATATCATTATCGGTGTATAGGTTGATTTCCCCCAATCATGAGGGACTCTCCATAAGTTCGGATGCGTTGTCCGTCGCAGTTCTTACAGGAGTGGGATTTTACGTTTTGGTTGTGATAAACTTGCACCCCTTGGAAATTCTTTGGCGAGGTTGAGGATTGCTTTACATTTCAGAACGTGGCAACTCATCCCCACAGCTTGTTTCATCAAGCTTAGACGGTTTTCGTCTGAATTGGAATATGTGACTATTAAAAGCCACAATGAGGACGGCAGATCGGTTTTTGCGAGCTTCACACCCCCGGTCTGAATTTGTTTACCGTCTCACATCTTCTACAAGCCCACGAACTGCTCGTTATCTGTACAGTCGTAGACCGATCGACGCAGCAGCTGTCGCCCCGCATCTCCACATGTTTGATGTGATTTGTGAGTTAGTTTAAATCGTAACGGTGTACCGAACAAACGTCCGTTGTACGGTGCCGCGATGGTAACGTAGCACACTGACACCTCTGGTTCGGAAGGAGACCGAATTTCGACCCTTTAAGTCATCTGAGAGGTGGTACAATCAAAAATTCTACGCAGAATAACACGCGTGAGGAAGTGTAAGCGAAGGGCTACAGCCCCGAAAGGTACCTTTCGGGGCCGAGTGTAAATTAAAACTGCTTTTTCCAAATCAACTTGGTTTTCACGGGAGACTCAAGCAAATCTCTGGTTTATGATGTTCTACAACTGAATGTGCTGCACACAGTGTGCAATGGTACGATACTTGAGATATCTCAGTATATTTTCATAAAGGAAACCACTCACAAGGTTGCTGAGAACCTTATGAGTAGTCTCCTTTATGAAAACCAGCGTTCTCATCGGAATTATTGAGTTTCTAGTGTATCAAAGTTAATCAGTACCACACAGGTTCTAAGAATTCGTATCACATGTTGTTTATTGTACGGTTTACGCAACAGCAGTTTTAGTTCTTCATTCTCGAGTTGGTGATATCATCCCACGAACTCACGTTGTATTTTCCAGCATTGGATACGCTACAACCTTTCTAAGGATGCATACAATTCGTACGTGGGCGAACTCGCTGATAGTGCTTCACAGGATACCTATTCTCGTGATTTGCGGAACAATTGACTAATTTAAATGACTACTAAGTACCCAATACTTGATGTATGTCCTTCACTATTTCAGGTCCTTGAACCGAAGCTCATTCAAAACCTGCGAAATTTGCCTTGCAAGAGCGCCATTCGTAAACCTGCACGCAAATTCGCCAACTTCTTCAGTCAATCGGTTAATGCTGAAGGGTGAGTTTTTACTATGCCTTGCTGCTTTCAGCGCTTAGACACTCGAACAAGAATGAGACTCCCGATAGTATTCCGTCGAATAAGGTGCTTAGCCACCTTCCTCAGTCCAGTCGGTTGTTCTGAGATGGCGGAGACGATAGTAATTCAGCTCTCTTTCCTCAAATCCCACATATGCCAGCTGTTCATCACTTGTTTATCTGTAACTGAGACACCCGTGTGTCAGTGGTTAGAGCTCGAATTTGCTGACCGGAATGTCCGTGGTTCGAACCCGACCTCTGCATCTCGACTTCTACTGTCTAGGCTTGGACAACCTGACAGTGCCCCAGCCCTCGTGACCATTTTCGTGTGGCATGACAGTTAGGCACTGAAAGTGTGTTACAGCTGAACGCTTTATTTTCCTTTCCAGTGCATTGAATCGATTTGGTAATAGTCAGTCCGCGTCATCTAAAGCATGGTGCTTCCGTGCTAACCAATCAGAGCAATATAATAAACAAAACGAAATACACGGATGGAGTCACTAAATACTCAGCAAATATCGAGCTGCCCTTCTTCGCTATGCCTTACTTTCACACCTGGATCTGAATTGCACCTATCTGAACGGTCTTAAGATTACCGTCCCAGCCTATTGAAGACTAAGCTCCTCCCAAACCCGTCGATATTGAAGCAGTCACACCGGTTCTCACACCATACGAGTAAGACATTTCCAACAAGTGTTGCTTATCACCTGAATAATTTGGGGCGTTTCTTTTCGGATTTCAGACTTGGCAAAGAAGAAAGGCAAGCACTAAAGGCTCAGCGAAAACAGGCGCGGCGAGCCAAGCGGAAAGAAAAGGCATTGCTACGACAAGAAAAACTGGTCGCTTTGAACAAGAACAAAGGGGGCGAACCTGTGAAGACAAAAAATGGGATGGGGAAACCGAAAGCACGAAAACCTTCGAAAACTGGTGAATCGCACCACGTGTCCTCGCTAAAGCGGAAACATACCTCTTACAAACGCAAGGACACTAAGAAGCAGAAACTCTCCTAACTTTGAGCTTGTTCCCATATTGTACAGAAATACACAACGGATATTTGTATCAAACTCTGTCTCCTAACTGATCCACCGCAGACAAAGCCGACCTTCCTCACTTTTTGATGGGGAACGACGACTCATCTCTACCGCTTTACGATAATAATAATAAGAAGAAGAATAACGGCAATGAGGCACCCCCGGTGTTGCTGTCAATGATAATGATGTTGACTGCTTTATCACAGTACTTGGGCCGCGTGAACTCTCCTGCATCCCCCAACCTGTGTGTTCGGTGAGTGAAAATGTGGCAGCATGCGTACATGCAAACAGCTGGGAGCTGATGATGATGGTTGTCACAAATCTCCCGGTTACTCATGGCTGAAACAATCAGAAGTAGTGGATGGATATTTGATTTTCCAGTCCCATTTGTATCTATATTTCGTGATCAACGTACCCTCAGCAACCTCGTGAAGTGGACAGTGTTCCACTCAGGCTCACCTAACAAATGTGAGAATACCTTCCTGGGTTTCGCATGTGGCTCGGCAAACAATAATCTCAAATTCGTAGCAGGTTGTGCAACGGTTGAGACGTAGTGATCGTACCTCGCCACAACTCACTCATTGGAACAAGGGTCTTAAAATAATTCTGCCGTTAAACAACAAACCAATCTTATAATGACTACCCAGAATCCACAAGCATATTTACTATACCGAGATACATACATTTCCTACTGTAATATCAGAGAAGGGGCGGTATCCGGCATTGCAAGTACTTGTGTGCTTCCATACCGGGAAGCTACCTGGTCATTAGGAAAGTTGGTCAGTTCACATCCAACAGTTACTTTCCCAGCTCAATGAGTTTTTCGCTTAGCAATGACTTTCATGAAACGGCTGTGCTCTAGGCAACATATAGTGAACATCAAACGTTGGTCATTAGCTGAGACGCAAGCTGGGTCTCTACAACACTGCACGAATGTAGCCAGAATACGGAATCAGCAACATTAGGTGTTAGGACGTTTATTGAGTTGATAGGCCACATTGTTCAAGTGACTGCTCGCGTGCCATTCGATTGGTTTGTTCGGAGACCTTTGATGTGATGCTCAGAATGACGGATTTGTTGTCGAAGCAGTGGAATTTCGGGCAGATAAAAACAGTTGGTGTAGTGCGACCGAGAGAGGATAGGGCAAAGTCCCCGTTGGGAGTTGATGCAGTCATCCGTCGGTTACTCATGGGCTCTGCAGGGGGATATCTAGCGCAAATGAAGAGTCACATGATTCAATAAATTCTAACTCAGCCTTCGACTGGACGAGGGAGGTGCGTTTTGAACCAGCATTGTACACCGTTACAGTGATACTCTCCCGCCCTGTGAACGTTGGAATGTCAACTATGAGCACAACAACCTTTTCACTAAGAGATACACCATAAATGCAGATATTCCTTGCAGTTATAAGCATAAATTACTACTGCGTTAGCCCGGATCACTCTATATACGTCCACACCAACAAAATCGAAATTGATCAATTTAAATAGGAAATAAGGCATCGCCCTATCCGAACACACCAAAAGGAGCAATTAGTTTCGTACATGGCAGATGCTTCTGAATGACGAGACGTCAAGTGCAGTTACCCCACAAAAAATATATCTCGCATCTTAACCTTTGTCAAAAGCAGGGAGCGACGGCTACTGTTTGACACCGTCAATGATACTTGCGTGTCGTCGACCGATTTACTGTAAAGCCAATAGGAACTGCTGTCCTGCGAAATTGTATTAATTGGGAAAGGCGAAATGGCGTGCAAGTCGTCACACACAGTCCTCGACGGGCAACAATACTCCAGAATAAATGAATCACCCAGTTACAAATAGGATAAACCGTTGAAATGCTTACATAAACGCGGAGTAGGTGGTTGAGGCTATGGCAAAAATGAGAGCTTTTAAGCCACGCAATTAGGATCAGTAAGGCGGTGCGAAGGCAGCGTCAACGCTTTGATGTGATATTGATATACGTGACAGTCTTGATTGCTGGCCGCGTCCGTTGTCGCGTCTCCGACCTTAAAGCGACTGAGTAGCAGTCGACACATGTTCCTCAGGGATCTTCGATTATGCCTATTCCTCTTGATTGGATTTTTCACTGTCGTTCTGATTGGCCTACATCCCGCAGTCTATCCTGTCGTCTGACGCTCAGCTGTGTTTGTTATTCTACTCAGCTCGTGATTTGCTAGTTGGTGCATAGACTGGGTCCAGTTTATCGTTTCATCATCGATTTGGGCAAGATGGCTTAGTGGTTACAACTTGAATTTACTGACCCAAAGGTCCATGGTTCAAATGCGAGCTCTGCATCTCGACTTCTCTTTTCTAAGTTTGGCAACCTGACAGCACTCCAGCCCTCGTGCTTCCTTCAGGTAGCATGACAGCTAGGCACCGAAAGTGCTACAGCTGTACAATTATTTTATTTATTCATTATCAATCATAACCGAAAGTCATTTCCTTCAGAAACATGTATACAAACTCGCTCATACCTGTAGTCAAAGCGCAACCACCGTACAGTTCCGCTTCACAAAAACGCACTGGTGGTATCACCTTGATTGGTGACGGAATATTTGCAACAGGAGTGCGAAGCTCAGCGAGCTACTCGGCAACCAGGTGAACAATCTGGGTTGCCAACACTTTTCTATATCCCGTTAGACGTATGAGGTCCTCTTCGGGAGCTATATGAACGCATGCAGAGATGGAGGAAATACCAATCGGATCGAACATTAACGGTGTCTCTTCATATGATAAGAAATGCTTACAAGCCAGCTTAGACGAAAAGATCGACTGTCATCCAACTGACAACCAACAAAGATTAGCAATAGAGGCACAGCGCCGACACAACATGAAAAGATCCTCGACACCTGTGACGCCAGTCGCCTTGATTGCTTCCACAATTCACAATGGGGGATGGGATCCCTAATTCGGATAAAAAACCGAAGGAACAGCTTCCAGTGGCTCGATTAAAGGCAATCAAATTCGAAATCTTAAATCTCTTAAGCAGACACTTGGACAACTCTTGTGGTGTTACATCCATCTTACCAAAAACAACATATTCGGGTTTCAGCAAGGCAACGAATTCCCTGAAAAATCTGGCGATCACAACTAGGCGGTGGAACAAATATTTCAGTTCAAAATATTTCAGATCACAACGAAACAACATACAGTGGGTGTTGTATGACCACTTTGTGAATGAGAATTAAATCGCGAGATCAATTCGAAAGAGGCGCTTATTTTCTAGTATCGGCAGCAATTGGTGTCCAATACTACCGCCATCCAATCCCACCTAATTTGAAAAGATCTGCTCTAAGAGTTAGCAAAATATCATAAGGGAGCCAACAAGCAGTAGTGTTCTGTCATTTTTTTTTGAATGTTGGAGTTGTGTACCGGTGCCCATACAACCAGCAAAACCATATTGCATAAATTAGTTCAGATGAGGGAAGGATGTTGGAACATAAGGGGTGAACAGCCGGATGTATAAAAATATCCCATTAGACAGAAGCATAACCAGTCAACCTGACTGCATCGCGATCGTTGCTTGTGCATTTTGCGCACCCCAAACTCCTTCCTTGACGTAGAGCTTCAGGCAAGCAAGCTGATCGGGTCTCAAATGAACATGGAACTCGGGTACTTCACATGTCTTATAAAAATCCATTGTTGTCAAAATATTTTCGACAATGTCGTATTTGGTCTGCATCAACTGAGACGCCTCAGAGAGGCCAACCTCTGTGTTACGATTCAGGAGATATTCCATGCATCCTGGCTGATCCAGAAACAGGCGGACCCCCCATGGCTACAATGAGAAAGTAAATGAAATCCTATCAAAACCAAAGAGACATGGTTAAAGTGTCTGAAAGAAAAAAAGAAGCATCGTGCATCCAGCTCAGTGATTATGAATACAAGAAGCGGCAGTGCCGAAAGTGAAATAAGGGTAGTGAGTATTTGCATCGCAAACTCCCCCAGTTCTACAGTTCCAGAGCAACTACTTTTGTTAGTTCACACCAACCGAAGGCTTAGAATCAAATTAGGCTCTTTGTAGAGCTATTCATGGTGCGTTTCGTTTGCCATACTTGGACTTGAACTGAGAGCGTTTGGTGCTGACGTCCTAGGGCACTGTGGACTCAGCTGAATAGTCTCTTTGAACGGGCAAACACATCCGTGGTCCGGTCGTTCCAGAAGACTACCTTTCAAGGATCACCAGTCAATTAATCCCAGTTTAGCTCCCATATAAGAAGCCGATTCAGGTTAACCAGAGTTATCACGTTACGACAGCGTGACGTTGGTACAACTTCAATAAGTGGTCAATGTACGGTTATGTGTGCTTAGGTCAACCTATGTGAAAAACTAAGAAACGGTTTAATACTTCTCTGGAATCGTCGACAATGTGTATCCCACGGGTTGTGATGCTCAAGTGGAGTTCAAGAGACGTACACTCTTGAGTATTTCAGACAGTGATGGAAGTCTTGTGTTCGTTCGGCGGCATCTGAAACTATCGAGCATCGAATGCCTGAAGCTACTCGCATGTGCCCTACACATAGTAATCCATCTTTCCAATCAATTACTGGTCAATTGATCTCGATCAATTAAAGTCATACATCGCTATCCTGTAAACACTTTATCACCGCTAACAACTCCCAGCGGATTTCGAGGGGTGATGCTGAAAACTGAATGTCTTAATCAACTAACTTCAAAAACTATCGGTCTTCTACATGAAATCAGTGTCTCGCTTGAAAGACGTAATGATGGCCCTCGAGCTACTTCAAACAACCAATTTCAATGAGGCGAGGTTTCTAGCGGTAGTGAGCGTGAAATTATTAAAAAAAAAACAATAAATCGGATCCAAGCCGGGTGTACTGCGAACTTCACAACACTGCCTTTCGAAATGATCAGCTAGCATGCATGCAGTCCCCCCAACCGCTCCACTACGGCACGCAGTAAATTGCGTAATCGAGACCGCTTTGCATCATCGCCTTCAGGTCAGTGAACTGAAGGTGAAAGTTGAGGAAAGAAGATAATAACCATAAAGGAAACTACTCATAAGGTTGCTGAAAACTCTTCGACAGCCCACGACCGGTTTCGCCTTTCTTGGGGATCATCAGGAAACTCGGGAATTGTGCCTCCCTGATGAGTCCCAAGAAGGTGGAAACTGGTCTTGGGCTGTCGAAGAGTTTTCAGCAACCTTATGAGTAGTTTCCTTTATGGTTATTATCTTCTTTCCTCAACTTTCACCTTCAGTTCACTGACCTGAAGGCGATGATGCAAAGCGGTCTCGATTACGCAATTTACTGCGTGCCGTAGTGGAGCGGTTGGGGGGACTGCATGCATGCTAGCTGATCATTTCGAAAGGCAGCCCCTTTCGAAGACTATAGTCACAAACTGTGGTGACAATAAATGTCCAAACGATGTGGGTCAATTCATCCAAATCTATTTGTATTTCCCGTTTAACTTTAGTTATGTCATGTTCTATAGAGGCCCGGTGGAACAGGTGAAATTGAGACAAGAAAAGAGACGGCTTTGAAAATGTCTCTAGTGGAAATGCTCTTCTGGAAGAGCCGCTGTGTATGTCAGGAAGGGTAGAGTATGTCCAACGGAATGGCGATGTTGGAGATGCTTTCTTGATCATTGTAATGGAAATGAGCGTAGCTAAACATGTGGCTCATTTTGATCAACATGTAACTAAAATGGAATGCTGGTTACATCAAGGTAAAACCTCTGATATAAATTTTCACTAAAACAAGCCCCACACCGATAGGCGGTGTCACGATTGAAGAAACCGAAGCAATAAAATGGTTCAATACATAAAATTACTGACTTGTGTTGCCATCGACCGAATGGTCCTTAAGGCCGCCAGGCGCATATCAGGAAAGGGATTCGTTGCCAAGGTAGTTAACCGTTTCAACAATATTTTAGCCGACCGTCGACTTTCGATTCCCGCATGGTTTGAATCCTCTGGCTGGCCAATGACCGCAGCCCATTCCAAACTTATTTGGGCCTGTTCCTCAGCTTCCAGTGTGTCGAAGAGGACTGATGGCCGGGCTAAAAAATCGGCTACGCAGTCAACTGAACGGAGGAGAATGAATGTTTCTGAGTTCTGCACGAATCGTCCAAGCTTGACAAGAAGTAGTTTTAAGCGTCCTGTGGGAGCTACAATGCAAGGAGAAAAGGGTTCGCAGTTTGCGTACAGGGACTCATTGAAAAATTCTCAAGTGTAAAGCTCAGTTCGGTCTATAAATCAGCGAAGTCTATATGGACGCTTGAAAGATCCCGCACATGTCGCTGAAGATCCTTCTGCTAACCAAGAACTGAGCGAGATCAAGAATCAACTAGAGGTACACCGATTTCCCTACTTGGTTAATCAGCCGCCGAGCCATAAATAGGTTGATTAACGCTTACTGCCATTGCCGTACCTTCTGGCACATGCTGTTCGACCTTAGTTAATCTAATCGCACGAGCTGGTGACGTAGATGACCGAGATAGAAGTCCAGCCTGGCGGCCCAACATTAGTGGGGGGAAAACATAGAGAGTAAGTAATGTGGCTCACTCCCCGAAAAGAGGTCGCCACCTAGAAGAAATCACAACAAGCTTTCGCCGACAGGTTCCTACGGGAATTCCCATCCCTAGAGACCGATTGAACATCTCCGGGATTCGCAATTTTATTCCATGAAAGCCACAAACCCCAAGTTTGTGTGAGAATACAGTAGAAGGAAATGAGGGTTCAGCGGCCGGATGGCAGTTTGAACGAAGCAAATCTGAGCCCACCCGTCCCATTACAAACGACAACATTCAGTTTGAGACCCTTCGTCTCCTGGTTTAGCCATCATCAGTAATGTCTGAATGGCTATATTACCCAGAGAGCTCAGGGGTTAATGTGCAGAACTACTGATCGGAGAGTCCATCGTTCGAACCCATACCTGGCCTACCAATAGCTACTGTCTATGACTGAGCCAATTGGCAGTGCCTCAACTCTCGTGCAAGCCTCGGGTTATGTGGTAGCCACGCATGGAGTGTGTGGCGAAGAGAATATTTTTTTTCTCGTTAACGCCACAACCACTGATTTTAAACAACAACGCATCTCGTGTTGGCGCAGAAGGTATCTCCCGGGGCTACGATTCACCAGTAGGAAGTAGCGGTGCTCAACCACTCCGTCACTATTAAACAAAGTCACTTTTTCATGATAGTGTCTTCACAACCGTCACAGGAAAAACAAGACCAAAGTGAAGAGTGGAAAAAAAGACAAAGGGTGGACGAGTGAGAGAAGAGCCCCGATGACCTTGTGGAAATCTCCAAACAATAAATTGCTTATACCTGCGAACAGCACTGAAATAAAGAAATATGAGCAATATGTCCTGCTGCTTCCGACTGACTCGCTTCCTGCGCAAACCCTAGCCTTCATGGGGCTAGCGCACAAAGACGGACAAATCGTAACTAGTCAGTGTGCCTAGGTTATAACACCTTGTCATTAGACCGGAATCGCTTTAAATTCGTGTTGTCATGCGCAGTCTTTTCTCCAGCGAGGCTTTGGAGCAAAAACCAACGCCTTCTTTGGTACACGGTGGTTGGGTATGCGCAGTGCATGTCCCAACCAGCTTACCCTAATAAGGCTTAGCTTCTGCTTTAGCGGCAATGTTTCGCTTACTTGCGCATCGTTGCAATGGGAACATGCTACCGTCAACTAGCCTCTGAAACGCTAAGGAGGCACCGCTGAATAAACGTTCGAAGTACCCTTCCTATTCAAGTTGAATCCCGCGTGCAATTTTCTCCTGACATTGTACGACCAAGGTCTACTCAGGATACGATTCCTGGAAATAGGTATAAAGCTTACGCTGCAAAACATCTGCACTGTGGCGTTGAAACTACTTAAACTCCGGATACAGGTTAATCATTGACTAGCAACTATCTTTAGGAAGATTTTTGGATGATCAGGAAACACATCGCACATCTTCGTCACCAGTCTATATCAATTTTGGGTGACGATATCAGCTTACCAGAGGTAATTTGCAAATAGATAGGCTTCGATGAACCTGCTTCAAAAACGAAAGTAAAACAATCGAAAACACAAATGACGGCAACAGATGTTAATCAAACCACAAAGTAAGCAACAGTCGAAACTCGTGTAAAACTAGGGCTGGTTTGTATGAGTTGGACTGTGGGGACTACCTAATATCTTGCCTTAATAAAAGCACTTTCGGAGGATCTCACAATTGTTATACAATCTTCCAATGACTTGCGCACACCCAGAAAGGGGTAAAAAAATCTTTCTCCATGGTTAAATTCGTTCCAGAGAATTGTTGCATACAACTCGTCAATGTTACAGCGTCTCCCTCCGCTTTCCTAATAAAGTGAAGCGAAGGCGACGGGAAGACCAGGTCAGACATTGGTGACAACCCTTATCAGACTTATTGATAATTTCACATAAGCAAATGAACAAGCGAGAGTTCTGATGCATTCCATCGGAAACACTTTCAGTACTTCAGCTACTTCTTAGTGACAATTATTTTTAATAAGCCAGCCACAGCGTTGACGTTTTTCAGGCTTGTGAAATTCGCGAATCCCTGTCGTGCTGACTGAACAGGAATCCATCCCGATCTCACGCATTAAAGCTGTACAACAGAGGTATGTGATGTGATTTGCCCAAGCATTTTTTGGAAACAGCCGGTGTATGTTGAGTCTTACGGTGAACCTAGACCCGTATGACGCCAGCAACTGGAAGTGGACTACGGGCATGCACTATGACGCACGATTTTGCATATTCGCACTGCGTTATTGTAATATACTGATTAATGCATAGACATCCTGCTTTGAGAGCAGCTGAATAAATTACCGATGTCGCTACTGCGTCTCAGATTATATTCAACGAGGGTTATCCGGTTGTTGTATCACCTGTCCACGTCAAAAGGTCACATTATTAGATCGGCTGAGTTCAGGTCACAGGCACAATTAATCGGAAAAGTGCGGACCAGTCGCCCAAACATTAGGGAATTCACCCACTTGATTGATCAATGAATCAATCCGTATCACGAAGCCTCATCACATCAACAGGAACCTAATGGTGGTCAGTATCAACGGAACTGCAACAAGTTGAAGCACGTCTATTACCTTGTTAAACTTAAGATCTATCGAAATCACATTAAGCCACTTTAAAATCAACTGAAGCTGTTCCAGTAAAGATTTCAAAGTGTATTGGGGCCATTTTGCAAGTATTCCTAACCATAACCATTTGACCATCCCCTAAAGTGAAATTAAGGTATGCTAAAGGGTAAAAACTCCTCACATCCGTACAACACCGCCTCGAGACAAGTACAGAGGAACGGGTCACGGGGACCCTATCCTGGAAGGCGGACCACCTCTCGTACTCTTCCAAACAATTCCGACAAGTCACGCATTGGCCACCTTGCAGTTTGCGAGGCAGCTCGGAAGGAGGCAAACAGAACAACACTCCTCAAGACAGACGAGGAACATACTATTATGACCCTTGACGGATTAATAGATAAGAGGCTTTCAAGAATTTGTTGAGCACAAGTGGAACAAACTGANTTTTAGCTCCTACCATTTCTTCGACGCTCTTGATCCAACAGTCCTGCGGTCCGCGCGGACACTGTCTTACTCGGTGATGAGGCCACGCTCCCCGAGACCGGGGAGCAACCGTCGCCGTACCCCCGACAAAGCCATGGTCCTATCAGAGTGAGGAGATTGGCTGGGCTGTGCTGCAAGCAGGAGTTCAGTCATCAAGTAAAGCTCTGGATACCTATCTCCATGGACTATTAACCTCCGATGTTGGACCAGCAGGCAAAAGCCGGACGAGTCAGCCCTGGTAAATGGCAACTCACCGAGATGTGTCCGAAGTAGTTTTCGTCCTACCGTGCTTGCTGCAATGTGCCCCACAGATTCCATCGCAGCAAGTGAAATTCTTTGATCTGAACTCTCAATGGCACTGCTCAGGACAGATACCAGGGCGCTGCACTTATCCACGGGAATCCAAACCACAGGGTGCTCTCGTGCCACACAGCCGAAAAATGCCAAGTATCCTTCAGAGAAATCAGTGGAAAGTACAAGTAAAACAATATGCTCTCTAACAGATGGGGTGAACTCAAAGATAGCAGAAAAACCTGAAGTAATGTTCGGAGCATAGAAGTCAGTGATTCGGTTCAAAATATAAGCAAGTAACTGTACAGAAATAAGAAATGATCAACACATCGGTCTAATCGGAAAACTACACCTTAATGCACGATTACCAACTTGAGCTCGAATGACTATATTTACTGATTCCGTGAATGATGTCGTGTCCTACATTATGAGTGAAAACTCCTACGGTCCCATATGTTTTATTGATGATATATTGTTTCTTACCCCGGACCGCACTCTTAACAGTCCTCCTCAGCGCTGTGAGTAAGCCTAGCGGAACGATCCAGCAGCCATCATCATTATTATTATTAGCTATAAGAACCGCGTACTTGTCGTAAGGTGGCTATAGCTGCAACAGTTTCGTTTCGTCCACCAATGACTTGAGGGGGTGGGAGGTGGCGGCACATTGGAGGCGAGAGCTGATAAATTGGTGCGTCATTTCAACTCTGTCAGTGGACTTTTAAGTTAGGGATTGGGAAGGGAACTATGCACTGAAGGCAATAGCTAGGATGAAAGAACCCAACTGAAGGCGCGACGTCTGACAATGTCTCTAAAGATTGATGTGGCTCGTCTGTGGATCCCCATCCAAAGAGACGGCAATGACCAGCGTAGCTGAGTTTGCTGGTAATGGTTTTCATACTTCGTTGCCAAGTCATTCTTTGACCTCCCCTGGCCCGTTTCCACCATTCACGTGGTTCTGCAAAAAGAACCCTTCGAGGAAGTCCGCCGACTGGCATACGCAGCACGTGGTCAACGCAGCGCAACGTATGGAGTGTGATCAGTTCGTCTATCGTGGGCGAGTTATTTCTCCCGAAAGCTATTCAGTGTACTCGAGGGATAATAATCCGGTGTTCCCACCAGGCTCGACCAATGCCCCGAAGACATCGATGCTCAAACACTGGAATTTTTTGAAGTCCTCGGTGCGCAGCGGCCAGGTTTCTGACCCGTATAGGAATATGTATCGCACCGCGGCGTCGTAAACTCGATCCTTGACGGATAAGCTGATGTCACGCATACGTCACGGGTGGCGCAGGTCCACAAAATCTGTTCTGGCCTTCCAAATCCAGATGGAAATATCATCTTTCGCTAGACCACGGGGACTGGTACAGCTGTCCAGGTAGACAAACTTGTCTACTACCTCAAGCGGCTCGTCCGCAAGCATCAGGCTAGGGTTCGAGCCTATCCAGCCTTGCAGTGGCACTTCACACTTTGCAGGTGTGGAGCGCATGCCGAACCGCGAGGCAGAATTATTTGGCTTATTTAATAGTCTGCATTACCACGGCATCAGATCCAAGAAAAACTATGTCGTCTGCGTACTCGATATCTGTGAGCGGAGGCCCCGAGAGCAATTCGACCCGATAGGTATTAGAGGATGACAGCGAGGCATACATAATCGCATCAGTATAGAAGCTGAGGAGGACAGGTGAAAGAGGACAGCCTTGTTTGACAAAATTTGATGTGATGAACTCACGCGAGAGCTTTTTTTAGACCTTCTTGCGGCCGATGGAAAATCCAGCAACCAAATGAAGTGTACTAGTTAAACAGGGAAATTCTAGATACAGATAAAGACTGACGGTGGGTGAGGGAAAAAATGAATGCATGATACTCTAGTAAGCAAGTCGATACGCACCACTGAAAACTGCTCCGTTGATTACTTTCTTACAGGCCGTCCACCCGTAAATATGGCATCTGGCGTCTGTACGGTCCGTTACACACTAGCCGCTGGAAGTGCTAGCTCATTCAGGATGGTAGAGGCATTACCCAGTCTAGCAAATCCTCAGTTTGGGCTCGCAGTGGTAAGCGGCCATTCGAGCATCAAATTTAAATTTAACATAAGCAAACTACATAACCGGTGTATCTAAATAAGCTGGCATCCAGATTAACAAGCGCTAAAAAACAGACGCGCGTTTACGCACACAAGTATGACGAAATAGGACTTGAAGCTTTTACGAGAAAAACTTAGATGGCAGAACTCGGGATAATGATTTGACTACCCTTTTCAAAAACAGAGTTCCTAAAGTCCTGAAAAAAATGAGCGGACAAATGATCCAAATCTACGGAAAAATAATACATACATTGGCTTTGACAAAAGCGCTGAACATCGATTGCACAACACACTCACCCGGCATAAGAAGATGGCCAAAAGGGTCTTCATTGAGCTGACACAGCCGCACAGACAACTGATCTAAAAGTCCACGGTATTTGAGCCAGGAATAGCCCTCCGGTAGAACTGTCAGTGATTTGGCCAGTTCAACAAAGTTCAAATTCGTTAGCGGATCTTTATCAAGCAAACCTTCCGGTAATAACCATAACAGACCACTAGACTCTAACTTAGAGATGTAGGCAGGATTCTGAGCAGCAACTGAAACAAGCATCTTTAAGATGTTCGGATGAAGCAAAGCGCTGTTCCCACCTCTGCAACCCGTAGCTTGTTAGAGGAGCTTGTACAGAGCTCTTTGAAGGAGCTTGCCATTTTGGATCCAAAAAGATTGTCAAATGCAACCGGGTCTCTTGCAACTGCACTCAATGAGTGTAAATGACAGAGTAAACTCACCGACTTCAACAAGGAATTTGGTGGTAGCTTTGTACACGGCCAAGTTTTCATGCACAAGCAACCTGACCGCATTTTGCAAAAGTTCATCGGGTATAGAGCAAACAGTGAACTCTGGTTCGCAGACCCCGTCTTTCAGCTACTTAAGTGACGGTGCTACGTCATCAAAAACATACCTTTTGAAGGACAAACTCCACCAACTCGTCCTTATCGGAGCTCAGGGCTTGAAGAACCTCACTGAGGTGTTTGTCCAGCAGCTCAGCCAGGGGAACAACAGAAAATAATGTGCTGGCAAGGCGCAAAGCTAGCTCCATGAATTTTCTGTAAGTTAGTTTCTTATGGCAACATAATGGAACATACGCTTCGTGCAGGTTCATGCCCATGAATAACCTCATGATGTCACAATTATGAATGACCTTCCTTAAGTTGGAGGGCTTCATATTGACGACCATAGCAACCAGGCACTCATAATCAGTTAAATCTCCACTGGTGCAGGACAGTTTCTCTATCATCGTAGTAATTTCTTCAATTGCACTATCCATTCAGAGGCCGAAGGAAGTAGCTGGCTGAAACGAAATTGCAATCTTATCGACCAGAATCTGGTGGAAAGACTAAAAAAACGTTTTTGGTGCAACCACGAAGCAGCTTTGTGTCTACTTCACATAAGGGCTGAGAATCAACTACACTTCAGATGGAGTCGAGAGGTTTTCCACAATCTCTCACCTGTTCCCAATCAGCGAAGTGGCAGATAGCCGTTTCGAACTGATTGGAGGTAACTATGGAGAGAATGTAAAGTTCACGCTCCCCTACATAGCCAGTAGTTTGATGAGGCGAGAGGTGGAATTCGTACTCGTAAGGAACTTCTTGCTACATTATCCGAACCCAGATTTGACAGCAATAGTCTTGGGCTTGATGATGAGATTTGGTGCTATACATACCAAACTGGGAACCGTGGCCTCAGGTTGTGTAGGAAAACTGCACTGTTAATCAATCATCTGGGTGATTAGCGGAGAACGGAACTATGGGACTTTCCTGTACATGCACAGGCAGAGGTCCCCGTGAAATCGGACCCAACGCGAGATCATTTGAGATTGCTTCAGGCGGTTGATCCCAATATGTCACCGACTGTCCACAAAAGATGGAGGATCCATACCTCGAGATTCTCTGTAGGAATGGCGGACATCTTATTGGTTAAAAGCATGAAACAACCAACGAAACACGAAAAATGACCTAATACTTGCGAACGAAGTGAAGTCGCAGGACGTAACGGAGGTTCAGGGAGACGAACCTTTGGGGATATCAATATCCAAAGAACTTTGTATCTTTGTGTGTGCTAACAAACTTCCGGCATTTTCAAGGTTAAACTGTGCATATATATATATATATATATATATATATGTATATATTTTTATTACATTCGTGTCCAAAGATTCGTGTTTTTACTATTCCGCTGTATAGGAGTCGGGATCAGACAACATAGCTGGGGATAGCATATCGTCACAGTCCGCGCATATTAACGTTACTGGCTGCGCGATCGAAACATGTTTGGCAACGCAAGATGGAAGCAGATCGACTGAAAATGATATTTGAACAACATCTTCAACCCATAAAAGTACTAACGGAGCGACTATCAACCATATCTTTGGATTCACCGGCTACGTCGAACGTCCCACAGTCGGTTGACAGAATCCCTGGCAGTATCAATGAGTTTTGCTATGAACCCTCGGTTGACATAACGTTTGGTGCCTTGTTTCGTCGCTATGAAGACCTAATCAGGGTCGACTTTTCAATTCAGGATGATAGTTGGAAGGTTCGCCTCCTGCTCCGCAAACTTGGGCCAACAGAGCATGATAAGTACGCTTGGTATATTCTTCCAAAGAATTTACGTGACTTCACTTTTGACTAAACGGTTCACACACTTTCGAAAATATTCGGCGAGCAAAAGTCAATATTTAACATCCGTTACCGATGCCTGAAACTGGTGAAAAGTGACGCGGACAACTTTCTCACTTATTCCGGCATCGTGAAACGGGAATGCGAACGGTTCGAACTAGGATCGTTTAAAGAAGATAAGCTCAAGCCGCTGATTTTCATATGCAGTCTGCAATGCCCGAAGGATGCAGAAATCCGTACCCGACTCTTTAACCGCACCAAACAGGACCCGTCAATGATGCCAAAGGGATGCCAAAAAGGATTTGGGCATCTGGGTCTCCTCAAACTTGTCCTTCTCACTGCATCATGAGAAATCGGCCCGAAAGACATTCGGCATTTTACGGATGGTCCCACGCACCTTCTCCCGTATTACTCGCATGGACTTCCGAATACTCTATGGGGCCTACGTCAGACCGCTTCTGGAGTACGCCAAGTTGTCTACTCAGGATGCACGAAAGACGTCACCTTAATTGAGCGTGTCCAGCGAGCCGCCACCAGAATGGTTGCCGGTCTCAAATCCGTGGACTACGAAACGGGTCTCGCGATGCTTTATCTCTTTTCCCTGGAGTAACATCGCCTCCGAGGAGACCTAATTCCTACTTATGCCCTGTTTGAACAAAGCTTGGCAAACAGGTTTTTTACCGTTGACCCAGTAAACACACGGCGGGGACGTGGTAAGAAAATTTTCAGGCTCAGAGCACACACATTCATTAGACAAAATTTTTTCGCATTTCGGGTAGTAGGTGCGTGGAATGACCTCCCTCCGACGGTTGTCCACGCTCCTTCTAGAACCCAGTTTAAAGGACTATTAGACATTTATTTATGCGAAACCTCGCGCTGGCAAACATGCTGCCCCGCGCTGAGAACATAAAGAGCAGTGCGCACACCTTTTCACTTGCGCCTTTCAGGTGAACGACAGCCACTGACCGACAAGAACAAAAGCGACCACGGAAACTTGGGCAAAAGCCTCGATCCTGTGTATCAATCCGTGAATCCGTGAACGACGCTGCAGGCCATCACCTCGAAAGGTCAACGATTGCTTAACCTGAAGCATGACACCACGATGGTCCAGTTCGGGGGTTGTGGCGGTTCCGAAGTTCATGCAATCCATCAGGCTACGCAATAGCCTGCCTTGTGTACGGAGGTCAGCCGTCCCTAATAACCGAGCACTCCACAATTTGAACGGATGTCACGTGCAGGACACGGACCAAACAATAGCGTGCTCTAATTGGTCAGAATGCCAGCAAATCCGGATCGAACATCTCTGACCCGACGCTTCTCGCCCCCTCACAGAGCTTCTGGCACGACCTTGTGGAACACTCTGTGATTACCCTATAAACACAGTTATAACGATACTACTTTTATCTCATTAAACGGTTGCGCAGAGCTACCGTGCTTTTTGATATATCATAGTGGGCGGAGCAGGGAGCCAAGGGACCGATACAGAGTTGCACTACCATTCAGCAAGTTACAACACCCTGCCAATTCCAGCTCGACAAAATCGGCCTCACATTATTCTGGTCCCCAGCAAAACAAAGGCCTAAAGGGGACACCAACTTCACAATGTTGGCACTGCGGAACCCGGCACTTCACCAATTTCTGCCCTACAAGCGGCATCGGTGCCGCCAATGTAAGTCCGTGGGACACAAGGATGGGCATTGTCAGTCACGGACGCATATGGCCTCTGGTTTTTCAAAGCTGTCATCATACGTTCGCCCCAAAACGAAATCGAACCCTATTGATTCCCTCTCAGTTTACTGGCTACTTTCCAGATCAACACCCCAGGTCACCGAAAGTATCTTACAGTCACCGTCAATGGTCATCCATTCCGTCTGCAGTTTGACACTGCGTCGGACATCAACGCCATTTCGGAGAAGCTTTGGCGCACGCTCGGGCAACCTCCGATCAGACAAGCAGCTCGAACTGCTACCAGTGCCCGGAGTGGAGAGTTAAAACTCTCCGGTGAGCTCCAATGCTGTGTATCTTTTCGGGGAACTACATTCGTGGGATCGTGTTACGCAACGACAGTTGTGCTAAACTTACTTAGTCTTGATTGGTTCGCTCGCTTAGGGCTGGCCGACATTCCAATCAGTGTCATTTGCAATGCAATTCAGTCACCCACGGAACATCCAGATCGTGCATACAATTAGTTTCCAACCTCGTCTCCACCAGTACACTGTGACACAAGCGGCCCGCCACCTCCTACCAGGTGCCACACCATCCAGACGAACCAGTGCCGTACGCTCCTCTTACAATGGTAGATGCCAAACTTCAACGGCTGGAACAACAAAGCACTCTGTCCTACATATCCTACTCCGCCTGGACAGCATCGATCGTCGTGGTGAAGAAACCTAACGTTGACATGCGCATGTGTCGATTTCTCAACCGGTCTATGTGACACTCTCCAGCAGCACCACCATCCAATCCCAGTGCCCCACGATCTACTCACCGTTCTGAACAGCGGAAAGTTCTTCGTGAAAATCAACCCTGCTGATGGTGAAGTCGCCCCAGAATCACGCCCACGGTTGACAATCAACACACTGCGAGCTGTATCAAAACACGCGTCTCCTGTTTGGCGTCAAAACCGCCCTGGTAAGTTTCCAGCAGTTGAAGGACACCATTCTTTCTGATATTCAATGTGTAGTCCCACATATGGACGACGTGCTGATCGTTGCTCTCCCGCCTAAACAGCTTCTTGATCGGGCCAATGCTGTCAGGACAATAGCCTCAGCCTTCCTTCTGAGAAGGGTTAATTTTTCTCAACAACAATGAAATAACCTGGTCTCATTTTCGACGCCTCTGGTTGTGAGTCTGACCCGAAAAACGTTCCAGCTTCACAGCAGATGTCACGTCTCATCATTACGCTTCCTTTCGGGGCTAATCGGCTATTATTCCGCACTCTTGTCTTCGCTACACGACATTCAACCCCCACCAAATCAACTGCTTGGAAAGAACGCCCTTTTGCTTTGGTCAGAAAAACACAAAGAAGCGTTCTGCAGGCTACAAGCAATGCCCACTTCCGATCTGCTACCGACCCACTACGACCCAAAGCTATCAATCACCGTGGCAGCTGATGCTTCTACTTTTGGAGTCAGGGCCTGAGACGTTTAGAATGTGTCCGACAGCGAGTTAGAGCGGAGTCCAGGCTTTTGAGGACAAGCAACGTTTTACTTGTTTATGAACAAGCGTACATGAGCTGAAATCTACATGCAAAGGTTCAGCAAATGTATATATGGTAAGCATGAAGATAAGCACACAAAAATCATGACAGTGCCGTCATTCTGCACCTCTTTCCAGACGGATCGGAGACGGCCATCATGCAAAACTCCGAAATCACTAACACCAGCAGAACAGCGATGTGAACAGGTAGAAGAACTAGCGTTGGCCCCAGTGTTCACCGTTCGGCGTTTCTAAAATTTGTACGGTTTCACCTACATACAAATCATAAACCATTGCTGTCTGTTTTCCTTTCAAAGAAAGGTGTTTCCGCACATTCAGCCAACCACCTGCAAAGGTAAGCTTATTATGCTGGGCTACGACTTTGATGTTCATTATCGTCGCACCACAGACTTCGGTCAGGCCGATGCATTATCTCGCCTGAACGGCAATC